CCCCAGCTCCTTTCATACACCCCAAGCCTTGGGGATCACAACAGCCGCAGTCCTCAAGGCCCAAAGAATAGATCACATCACCTGGCCACAGCAGTATTCCAAATACCTTTTAAGTGAAACAGGATAGCCAGTCTAAGGATCATAATACAGTATTTCAAATAGAACCCAAATGCCATAGACACCTGAAGATTCTACTGACAAAATACATACCTTATTCCTGAGATGAATTTATGTTACTAATTCATTTATTCATCTAATAAATGATGAATAAATGAAGGTGTTCATCAGGACTGTTAATTCTAACAGTTAATTCATCTAACAGAAATAATTTCAGACAGTCTCAGTGATAGAAAAGAATCTGAATTTATATTAATCTACAAATGTTAGTTTATACCATGTCACTGTAGTCAATAGGGATAGGGTCTAAAGTCAGAGTAGAGTTTGGCCCAGTCATTCTAAAATTTCTGTATACAGCCATTTGAAGAATGCAATCAGAGTGTAGAAAGGCACTCTTGTGCTGAACCCTTCCCGAAGCCACAGAAGTGTCTAATTTAGCTGACAACTACAAGATACAGACCTCAACCTTTTGGATCTTACACAGTTTGAAGAAGAACATGCAGACGACAGTCACTTTCAGTATTACTGCAAAGCAGCACCACCCTCAATAATGGACCATATCAACTAATTCCCCTGCACATGACAAATCTGCTAAAGATGAAAGGGCAATTCCTTTAAAATAAGTCTTTGTCTTGGTACATGGACACACACTAAGTAGTAGGAAGATGGTATCTTTTTCACCATGTGAGCCAGTAGTAGTGCTTTTCAAATCCTTTGCCTTCCCCAAATAGCATGGCTTTCTATGTAGCATTAATAGAATGATATGGTAAATAGCTCAACAACAACATATCTCCACAAATAGTTCAGAGTTTTAATAAATGGATAGTTTGGGGAAATGTGCATTATAGGGAAAGGAAGTTGTTAGTGATGAATAGTAGACCTATGATCTGT